AGGATCTCGATTTCGGGGGGGGGGGGTCGTACTTCTGGGACCACGTACTCGACACGATTTTCACCCTGCTTCTAAGTGGTGGGGGGATGGGAAGAGTGAGGCATCCTGCTAATAGGCAACAGCACTCGAGGTATCAGGCCCCACGGTCCTACGTCCCCATATTGGGTTTCTTTATGCCGTTACATCAGGGACGGTAGTAAAGTGCCATAGATTGGGAGTCAAAGGTGATGAACATTGGCCACTAACGGCGAATAATGGAAGGCGAGAGAGCGAAATGACCCTGCCATGAACTTCAACCATGATGTAGCGTTTCATGACCACACCACAAAAAGTTGGTGGTTGTTTGCTGGTTTGCATGAAAGCAATTGTTTTGCTTTTGCTTGTTTGTTTTTTTTTCAATTGTAAAGCGGAGTAATAACCTATGAGGGTTGCGAAACCTCATGCATCCTGGATTACTGATCCCCTGACTGATCCAACGCCAAGATAGACCGAGCCCGCAGCGCCAATTGACGTGTCGGTGGCGCTGGAACGTGTCCAGAATGGTACGAGCGGGAAATGCTTCCAAGTCTAAATATGGAGCTATAATACGATCAATAAGAGGAACACAGCACTAAACAGCTGGTCACCTTATGAGCAGGTAGTTATCAATACAGTGCGTTTCATAATCATAAGGTCACCCGAAAATTTTGCATTTGCGGAGAAAGCAGCAGACCAAGGATTTTTTTCACCAGCTTGTTTCTCCTATGTACAGCCCCTGTCGGACTTTGGCGGGAAAAGCCTTTCTTGTGGAACTTTTTAAAATTAGGTTTTGCTTTTTGCACCGTTTTATAATTATAAGGTCAGTCAGTGGTCAGGAAATGAACAATTACATAAGATTAATGACCAACTTGAAACAACATCAGAATCTACGATTCCTTCATTTATCAGGTTAAAGATCAAATAGCCTCCATGGTCTACTGGAATTGAGATTCCAAGGCAGCCGACCATCGATTCACTTCCGTGTTCAAGGGTTGCTTGTTTACGCTCTTGTGTAGTTTTTAACTGGCGTTTATCCGCATGATTCTCATGACGAAGATGTCCTCGAGATACTCTACCGACATACGACCAGAACTTAAGAAGAACCTGTTCAGATCATCTGTTTTGAGTGCTGCTCCTTGTTGATTTACTTACATGGGCACCTGCGCTGTTCTGTAAGAATACGTAGGGTAGCCAACTTTGTCGGCTCAAAAGAGGAATCAGATGTCCTTGCGAGTCTCTATGCTAACACAGAATTAAGAATGCAGGTCGTGGTAGCGAAATTCCGGCACAACACAGTTACAAAAAGCACCCACCTTGTTCATATTTCTTTCACTAAAACTTGCAGGCGCTGAAGTGAATTGGCCCCCTTCGCTAGCTACGGCAAAAATGTTGGTATCCACGAGAACTATTTGTATAAAGCATTTGGGACTGAAAACACCAATCTTACTGAAATCATCTAGTCGTGTGGTCGATTGTGGCGTCTCAACTTTGCTCGACCTCTCTCTAACTTCAGCTTTAGGGTTGAAACTGTGCCCCCTCTCAGTGGCCAGTAAACCTTCGTAACATCTTTACCTCTTCGCTGTCAATGTTGCTGCTTCTTTTCGCCACTCTCCAGTTCAAATCTTCCAAGATACTATCAGTTCTGTTCCTGTTTTTGGTTTCATGTGAACACGTTCCCCTTTAGCGTCCTTATATGCACGAAGTTTGTTGCGTGTTCTTTTGAGCGCACGAGATAAATAAATAAAAAAAATAAATAAATAAATAAATAAATAAATAAATAAATTGAAGTACTTGATAATTATTTAACTGAAATAAGTCCCTATTTAAGAAGCTAAGCAGCTTTTCAGCTTTACCAAAAAGCTCCTGAACAACTGCTATTCCGCAAACGTACAACAGTGAAAGAGTACCAGTGCCGCGAAAAATCACAGTACCGTGATTAGTAACAAATAGATTAAAAGTTGAGTGCTGCGGGCTCTTTTCGCAAGTAAGCTAGAAGCACGTACTCTGACTACGCCGTCGCTACCAAGGATGACTTCCTTATTCCTACTTCCATCTTCCTTTTTGATGTGCACATAATAAACACCATCGGAATCTCTCTTCTTTATTGAAAACGTGATCATCCAGCTTTTGCATATCCTAAAATATCAGCGCATTATCTTTGAGACCGAAGAAAAAAACTTGACTTGACATCCAGATGAACCTCGTCATGCATTATACACTTCCTACGGTGTTTTTTAATGATGGAATTTATAATAAATCGAATAGAACACACCCTTTGTCAGTCCTGATTCTTAGAAGCTTCTTTTGAGCGAAACAAAAACATTCGAATATTCGAAGCTTTTCCGAGACTGTGTGAACTATGACACCGACGATGGTTTCAGCTGAATAAGTCTGATATGAGCTTGCTACCTATCTACCTGGATTACGAACACCTGCCTTCAGCGTCAATATGGAAATCATTCACCAAATTCGAAGCAGTCAGCAAATCCTCAAAACAGCAAAATAACCAGCTATTCTCTTCTCATCGAGAACTAATTGAAGACGTCGATGGTAAAAGTACTCAAGCAAAGTTCGGAGCAGTGCTTCTCACCACATCACCACATGAATTCACATTTATGAATGAAATATTGCGCTAGTTCCGTCCGAAGAGATAACGAAACCAGAGTATATCTACAGGGGTGGCCAAAAAAAAGAGACACTTCACTCAACATTCAAAACGGAATTATTTACGCGTCGCGAAACCAAACCAAATGACCCCAACTGAATATTGAAGAGCACGTTATAATCTATCAACAAGCTACACAACAGCCTTCTACACCGACGACATCAGAAGATTTTCCCACGGAAACATGGTTCACGGTACGAGCTCAACGAGGTCGTCGAGGTACCATAGACCATTACGACGTCCTGAAACGCTGGTCAAAAGCGGTTTTGCACAGTCACAGCTAATGTCTCTGGGAAGCTATTCAACAGTTAATCATTGAAGAAATTATGTAGCAGCTTCAGGCCGGAGCGATTACGGTAAGCCTCGTTGAGCTCGACGGTGACGGCAGATGACGTCATATTCTGGACAGTGAAGGAGGGCCTGCTTCTGTTTACGGGGGAACACCTAAGGAATATTCGCCGTAAAACTTTCATTAACATCGGCTCCCTGTGCGACGAAAAGTTCGATGATGTGCGCCATGGGCTGAAGTGTCTCTTTTTTTTGGCCACCCCTGTATATAAATTTCGTAGCCAACACAGATTTTATTCAATGCTTCTCTACAAGACGTATACGCCATTAACACCTTGACGATAGCGTAACGGAGCGCATATGGCAGCTCGTGCAATCGAGACATCTTACCAATTTTTTTCCTTGTGTTTGTTCTACAAATCACACTATGGCATTACTTAGAAGGACGCCACTCTCTGATAGATACGCTTGCGTTAAACGGTCCAGAATTATGTGATCATCGAGTTGCTTAAGTCTTCAATTTCTTTTTATTATCCTGACCACACAGAGTTCGAGTAATTTACATCGTACTGTTTAATGAAAAATTGTACGATCTTCTGGCAGCCACTACTGACGATGCACTTAAGAATCTTTGATGATCTGTCGAGGAAAGAAATGGGATTACATCGAGCGCCGAAGAGCTTCCAGTAGAAAAAAAAAGCTCTGAGTCAACACCCTTCCAGAGCAAGGGGCCGAAAAGCGAACAACAGCTGCAACGCTCACAAACATGAATCCAAATCGATTTCGTTCTATTCACAGTCAATGTCGTGGTGTGCGAGAACAATCCAAATGGAGAACAGTTGATTGAGCAGGAGAAATCAATTTAGTCGACCTTGCTGGCAATGAACACATTGGGCGATTTGGTCCTGAGGGCAAGTCCACCAAGACAGCAGGAAATGTAAACCAGTTTCTCCTTACTTTTGGTCGGGTTGTAGCATCCCTGACGACGTCCGCTCCCTATGTTCTCTGCAGAGGGTGAACAATTACTCGTCTCCTACAATACAGTCTCAAATCACGAGAAACCGTATCTTATGACCACTCGCTCAGGTGCTTATAGCGTTATCACCCAAAACCATTACGCTTGCATACCTGCATCAGTTTCTCGCTTTTTTCAAATAGAAAGCGGCTCGGTGCGATACCACCCAATCAGACACAGTGTTGAGAAGAAAACTTTCGTAACTTTGTTAGGAGTATCGTTTAGCAGATACGGAGAAGCAGCTTATAGTTCACCGCCTCAAGACGAATGCACGGGTGTACACGTGTACACCTCATTGCAAATGGCCGAATAAACCTGATGGCCTTTCTTGGCCAGAAGATATTTGGAAAGATCCGCCAGGCTCCTGTTCGAGCAGGTTATGACGAGTACCCTCCCTTTCAAAAAACTAGATAGTGTCGGGTGCACACCATGCACCACAACTGACGACGGGCGAAAGAAAGAAAAAGAAAGTGGCAGTTGACAACCGGCAAGGAAATTAATTGGTTGCAGTTGTATTCTATTAGCTATCTGTCTAATTCTACTTCGCTCGTCATCATTTTATTCAGGTGAGTTATTTGTAACAACAGTAAACATGCTTTTCAGGCGTTGTCAATGATTTCACTGCTACCATCGAATGCTGTCGTGGTGAGTTTCGCAAATTTTATATGCTTACGTCGAATACTGCTGCTACAAATAATATGCCTGGCAAAATACGTCTGACTACCTTTTCGGCAGACTGCTACGAGTTGTATATCGCTAGAAAGCGTAATTTCTGCTCTATCCAAATATGATGTAAACTCTGCTCTAGATGGACACTCCCACTTTTTTGAGAGCCTTGGATGGAACATGATCACCAAGCGAATCCTCACGATTTTCTTCTTCTACCTCGAATAAGGGCAGAAAGGAGTGGAATAAGTTCATGATATGAACTATTCGTTTGGTCATGCACTTGCGAAAAATAAGCCATGAAGCGATAGTTTGGAAAGCCTATGTAGGGACGGCGATATCCTCGAAGTTGGCGAGGGTGACCGTTGGATGTGGAATTTCGGTAAAAATCAACTGAAACATTTGATAGAACCAAATGTGCTTAAAACAGTTTAGAAGACCGCTACTGAATTGTATGTATTTGATTTATGTTAACTCTTGGACTTAAAAACACAGAAAATCAATACATAGGTGCAAAAACCTTGCGTATTCCGTGCCCGTCGTCACTTTCTGCAACTTTCTCCCAGAAACGATGGTTTCTTGTTTAAAGTCAATGTAGAATAGATTCTTCTCAATACCTAAAGTCTTCGGCTGAGAAGTTTGATGAAGACTAGGGTCAACAAAACTTTGCAAATGTAATAATGCACAAGGTGGAAGGTTGTTTTCTGGCTTTACGCGGTCTACAGCAGGCGCAATTCCCCAGCACAGCGCGGAACTATCATAGTAAGACAGTATCATTTGCAAGGTAGCAAAATACCCTCAGACCTTGGCACATATGCCCAGCAAGGGCTGCCAGAAATGGCCCGATGTTTGCCGAGGTGCACCTCAACCGTCGACCGCAGAATCGACCCTGCAAAAAACGAACTAGCTGAGGTACTGAACTATGCCCTAAACATACTCCACTCCCTAGTCCTCTGACCTATTCACCGCCAACTTTTTCAAAGGTGTGTATAGCACCCTAAAGGAGAAATGCTACGAAATCTGACGTGATGATAAAACGGCCTTCGCCTAGTTCACCACCTCTAGAACTACAGTCTTCTAGTGAACGTGAATGATCAACACAAGCAAATTCCAAGACAAGTAACCCAGCAGTTTATTCATCGAAAGCGTGCGTTTGCGTCGCGATAAATGCGCATTTGAACTTCAGTCCGGAACGCCCGAACTTTCCTACAACCTAATATAAATGATTTTGTGTACCAACTCTCCCTCAAGACCTGAGAGCGAAGTAGAATTAAACAGAAAGCTAAAAGAATACAACTGCAACCAATTAATTTCCTTGTCAGTTGTCAACTGCCGCTTTCTCGTGGCCGTCGCCAGTTGTGGTGTATGGTGTGCACCCAACGCTTTCTCGTTCTTTGAATGAGGTAGGTTATGAGAACAAAACCCATTTCCGAAATAAGCCAAAATTTCGAGAACTCATCTGCTCAAAGTAGTTCTCTATTGTCGGCATAGAATTTTGCAAAAAGAACTACTCCAAAACTGCATTTCCGTCGTACTTGTCGTATTAGTTCATACATACAGAGTATTCTGATAGATACAACTAATAAATGTAGGTCGCATACAGTGGCTCTCACAATCCTGTAACTTGTTTCAGCCTACTGTTACTGAACTTATACACACCTTTATTATCAAGATCCAGACCCTGTCAGCGCAAATCGGGGTCTCCCCCCCCCCCCCCCCCCCCCCATTTTTGGAATTGAAAAGAATCTTTCCTGAATTTTCCCGGAGGTTACCTGTTCCAAAGCTAACCCCTCGACGAAACATAAATTTTGAGAACACGTCACTTTCCAAAAAAAAGCAAGTGATGCTCACACCGTATTAACTTAAAGGCGACAGCGTTACGAGGTTGCGCGTTCCACCACGTCCGACATTGAGCCCGGTTGTGAGTCCACCTGCCGTGATTCGGAAGCGGTCGCCCTCCCAACCCTCCAAACACGACGCATCGAGGTGGTTCGGGACCCTCGCGGCCTTTCCCAGGCACATGTCAACTACGTCCTCCCATGACAGCCGTCCCCACAGCATGTCCTCCCCCCCGGCATCACGGGCCCTAACATCAGGAGGGGGTCTGAGATACAACCGCGTGAGCAAGGCCACCGCGGCCGCAGCTTCCCCCAGCGCTGGACCAAGTTTCCCTGCCCGCTACAACCCCGCTGGCAACTGCCCCCAACTAAACAACAATTGGCCCCTATTCAACCCGCCCTGGCGCTCCAACCCAACCCTACTATACAACACACTCACATTATTGCGATACCGGGACAACAACCTCGGCTTGCCAGCGCTCCGAAAGGACGGGACAGTATGCCGGACCATACTGCCGAGTGCCAACGGCACTCCGAGCCGTCCAGCTTCCTCGCGTTGCCCGGCACAACGCTCCTCCCGGAGGGAGCGAAGTGCGCCGACTGGCAGAGGCGGCTCGCTTAAGTAGTCCCGGCTGGAGGCGGGACCGGAGGCGGAGCATGCCCCTATAGTCGGTGCATGCAACGCCACGACCCTGCGCACACATGCCCAACCGCGTGCGCCCGGGACCACAGTCGCGTACCGCGACACCACCCTAGCGCGTCCCACTATGTGCAGAGGTTTGTGAATGGTTCTATTCGTCGATGCAGTTGCTTGTTGCCCTAGCCCTATCTCCCCTTCTAGATGTCGAACGCATGGTAATGAGCAGGGTCAAGCGAGGCGTTGAGGAAAATTTGGAAATACGACCCCCCCCCCACCACCCTCCGCCGGAGGCCGAAGTCCATGAAACAACCCTCTTCAAAAGCCGAACTATGAAAAGGTTGAAAAGCT